GCTCCTTTAAAAGCTTCCTTTCGGCTGGGGGGGGTGCGGGGGAGAGGGCTGCGGTGAGGGGGGCCACTGAGGCTTGCAGCCGTAAGCAGCATCCTGTGCAAGCGAGCAGCGGGTAACGAGCTGGCAGCCTGCCAGGCAGCCAAGGTCACTGCTGAGCGCCGGCCCCTTCTCTGCGGGGGCACCTGTGCTAGGGGGGGGCCTGGCTCCCACCAGGGCTCGCAAGCTGTGCGCATCTTGGAAAGCAGCTGAATTTGAGGGGGTCTGGGGGGCTGGCAGCACAGCCGAGTTAACCCCACCTCCGAGATAGTTTAATGCCCCCAGTGTGCACGTGGAGGGGCCTGGCCAGGGCTGCATCTGAACCCTTGTGCGCCCGCGGGAGGCAGAGGAAGCTCCCAGCTGCATGGGGGGAGGGAAACTGAGGCAGAGGAGCCGCCACGTGCCCGGCAGGGGAGTGGGAATTGGGAGGGCTCCTGGCAGCACCACCCCAGCCCCGGGGGGCTTCTGCACTGCTACCACACCTCTGCTGCAAGGGGAGCAGGGGCATCTATGGGGCTGATCCCTCTTGAAGAGGGGGATTGGGGTGGGATTAGCCCCGCGCCAGCTGTCTCAGTCTCTGGAGGCATCGGCTCTTGCTTCACTTTCCCAGAGCGCCCTGGCGCTGCCCAACGGGGAGCGGACCCGCACCCTCTCCGACTACCTGAGCGGCAGCAAGAAGAGGAAGGCGGAGGAGAAGGACTTCGTCACCGACTACGTGAGCAGCCCCCGCCCGCCCGCCTGCCTGAGGGTGGTAGGGGGCAGAGCGGGGGGCCTGTGGCTGGTTCTCCCAACCTGGGGCTGAATCATTGGGTTTGCATTGGCCTGAGGGCTGGGTCCCGATCCTGGACCCACATGCCCCTCTCTGCATTTCAGGGCAGCGATGCAGACAAGAGCGAGGACAACCTGGTGGTGGACGAGGTCGGTGCTTCGGGGCTTGTGGGGAGGGGAATCTACCGCTACCGCTACCCCGCTAGTCCAGCCCCGGCTGAGACGGTTTATCAGTTTGGAATTGGGGTCAGGCTTAGCCTGAGAGGATTTCCAAGGGCCTGGGGTCTCTGCTTTTGGGGAGGTGGGGGAAGGGATCCCTGGGGTTAAACTGGTCTTTGGATGCAAAGGTCACGTGCACATATGACAGGGCCCAGGAGTCCTGCTGAGGCCCACAAAGCCCTGGGAGTGGGAGCAGAAACCTGCTGTCCTTCCCCTGCTAGACCCTGCTGCCTCCCAGCTCTGGAAGGAGTCCGCCCAGCCGGTGGCTGTGCTCTGGCTTCGTTGGGGGCATCCGGCCTGGGTGCTCTAATGCCCTCTCGCCCCACCCTTGTCCCACAGGACCCGGCATCCCCTCACAGCGTCCACTCATACTCGTCGCGGGAGAACGGGGCAGAGAAGGGACTGCTGGGGCGCAAGGAGGCCATGCCGCTCAGCCCCACCTCCATGGCCTCATCCCGCAGCACTTCCCCGTCCCGGAGCAAGGACCCACCCACGGTACGTGGGGGCGCCGCGGGGAGGGCTACACTCGGTGGGTGCCGTTCGTGTCCAGTGGTCAGGGGAGGGATGTGGGGCAGATCAGAATCAGGCCCTTGGGCAAGTGGGCACCTGAAGGTCCTGGAGAAAGACAGCCCTGGAGAGGGTCCCCTGATGGCTCTTGCCCTCTGCAGATGGCAGCTGCTTCTCTTCCAGCACCATGGGCACATTTGTATTGGAGCAGCCACAGAGCTGGGGCTGTTACCCCTGCTGCCACCGGGCCCCACGGATGGGCACGACTATGCCCTGGAGGGAGACAGCTCCCTGAGCCCAGCTTCCCAGGGGGCCAGGGCTTCAGGATCCCAGAGAAGCAGCAGCTTGACCGGTGCCCAGCTGGGTGCAGCAGGGAGGTGGCCATGAGCACGGAGGCGGCTGTGCCGTGGGAGGGCAGATGGGAGCGCTGGGGTATCCAGGCACTGAGCGCATCTCCTGCCTGGGCAGGTGGAGAAGGCCGGGACGCCCGGCTTGAAGTCCAGCACCCCGACGTCGCAGGGCGAGTCCGCGGGCCCC